AGCATTTGATAAGACTGTAGTATGTGCTGTGTGTTAGCTGTGATTGTCAGTTAAATCTACCTGCATCCAACATTCCAGTAAACTCTCCCCACTTCATTTCCTAAATTGGGACATAATTTTATTAGTTCCCAAAATTAGGATGCTACATTTTCTTGTAAAACATTAAGGTCTTAATATAATTGACATTTTATTTCATAGTTTGTTCTTTTCAAATACAAAGACAGTACTTTTGAGCTATTATCTAATCATAGAACAAATACAGACTTTTGTTACTCCAAACAGTGTTGGAGGCAGACTCCAAAAGCATATAATTCTGAGGCTACTTTTGATATGTTTTGGTTGTATTTTCTCTTTGTGAAGCTAACTAGACCATAAGAAGATCAATTCCATGAATGACCTACACTACAATTAACTGAGCCAATTAGGCAGAAGATTTCTCATTATATTTACTTAGAAGTTATTCCTAATAATTTGATATTATCACTTATATTTTTTAAAACTAGGACCATTGCCAGTTCTACCAGCTTAGCTATATCTCATAATTTATTTTCCACCTTCTTACAGTAGAAGCCTCTTCCTGCATCTGTATTAGACAAACATTGCAGCCCCGAATTCCATGGCCTCTGGCTTCTTCAGAGGCTTACCTGTGCTATTACCCTTCTTCTCCTGTATCATCAGTGTTGTCTTCTCCACTTGATCATTGTCATTAAGTTACCTGTCTTAATACCTAGTTTAAAAAAAAAATGCAAATAAAACCCATTTTAATTCACCTTTACTGATTTATTTCTGCCCACTGGATTACACTCTTGGAAAATGTTATCTGTACTTACTGTTGCCACTTGCTCATTCCTACACTGTTTAACTCTTTTCTAATCAGACTTTCTTCTACACCATTGCACTGGAATATTCCTAACAAAGTCATCAGCCTCTATCAAGTGAAAGAAAGTGTTCTTTTCTCTGGTCTGTTACTCAGCCTTTTAACATCATTTGCCATAGACAACCATATCATCATTTTAAAACCTCTTTTTGTCTCTGGGCTTCTGTAATACTGCTTTGGACATGTTTTCTTTCATTCCCCCCTCCCCTGCCTTCCTTGCCTTCCTCACTGGCTGTTTCTTCTCAGGTGCCTTGGCTTCTCTTCCCCTTTTTGACCATCAGTGTTGGATGCTCCAATGCTGTAGCTGCAGCCTAGCTCCCTTCTTGTCTACTTTAACTTTCTGAGAGCTCTCATCGGACTTGTGGCTCCAGAATCATCTGTGTCTTGATGACTCTGGCTCAGACTTCTACTTGAGTTCTGAATATGGATAGCCAGATGTCTACCAGACACCTCAACTTGTTTTGTCAAATCTGTGAAACAGAACCATTAACTCCTCCCTCTCCTTTCCTCCTGATTCATCAATTTTCAAAATCTGCCCTATGTTGGAAAATGACTACTATCCACCCACTTAAGTGCTTGGAGACTACACCCCTCACCAAAAAAAAAAAAAAAAAACCAACATTCTTTCCCTTTCATCCTACATCTAATCCTTAAGTACGTTGTCTGATCTCCTTCCAAAATACCCGGCAGATCCACTTATCCCCTTCTGCCTCTGCTTCTAAAGCCCAGATTCAAGCACCATCATCTCTACTTTGTAAGTAGCAGCCTCCCAACTGGTTTTTTCCTTCACTCTTGCTGTCTTCAATTTCCTCCAGATAGTAATTTATGTGATTTTTCTAAAATGCAGATTTGTTATCACTACCCTGCTTTAATGGTTTTAATTGCGCTTAAGGTGAGAATGCCATTCCTTTCTCCCTAGCCCCTGTGATCTTGGCTTTGGCCACTTTTTCCATTTTGACCCACTCTTTCCTTCTGGGTCACTGGGTTTTAGCTGCAGTGGCTTTGCTTCTGGCTCGTAAATCTTCTAATCTTGTTTTGGTCCCTGGGCCTTTGTATTTGCTTTTACACTGCTGGGAATGCTCTGCTCTAAAGTCTTCTCACCCTTGACCCCTCAAACTTCAGACTGAAGCCAAATGTTAGCTCCTTAGAAAGGCTAATGTAGGCCACTAGGAGAGTTCTAGTGGCCCTTTTTAATTGTCTTCATTGTACTTGTCTGTAATTATTTTAATTGTCTACTGTCTACCTCCAGGATAATATAAACTTATTGAATGTTCTTGTTCACACTGACTCCTCAGCATGTAGAACAGTCCCTGGAAGTAGTAAACATTCAGTAAATATCTATTGGGAAACAGACTATTGTTGAAGAGCTGTTAGTTTTATTATATTTAGATTGTATAAGTTTATTATTAATGAATTAATACCTATGGTGTTCAAAATTGAATTAATACCTGTAGTGTTCAGTTTATAGTTTGTGTTCCACTTATTTAAGAGTTGCCCTGTTGTTTATGATTTATGAGCTGTTTATACCTTCTCTTTTGTTCCTTCAAAACAACCTTGTAAGTTCAGCCAACTGCTATTAGTGCCCTCCCTTGACTCCCAAAGAGTTAAATGACTTGCACAGGATTTCAGTAGGTGAACTGGAACCTAGGTTTCTGCTTCTTAAACTAGACAGCTTTATTGGTATAGTGTCCTAGGAGTGTGCTTTCGTGTGTGTTTGTAGTTTAGAGGAATTAATAACACTTAAGACCTTTACGTCCCATATTCTCTCCAAGATATGTTTTAAAGCTGTCTTTAGCTCTTTTCAGTGGTAACATAAAATATTGGTCCCTGTTATAATCAATATAAGTTAAGATTTGGCCAATTATTTTTTAGTGGTGATGCTTAATTATCAGTTGTTACAGATAGGTCATATGTATGCGATTAATGGTAGTCTATTTATACCATATATCAGTGTGAGGCTGATATAACCACTATCTCCAAACAAATTTCTTTAAAAATTAGAGACCAGTAGAGGGATAGAGAGGAATTTTTATCTTTTTTTTTGCTAGTAAGAGCATTCAAACACAAGACAAGACAAACCAACCCATGGACTAATCTCATCCTTATTCCTGTAGTCCTTTGCTGCCTTGCCTTCCATTGACTCTGTCTTAAAAATTAGAGCTCTTTGGAAGCTTTCAAATGATAAATCTTTTTTTTTTTCTTTTTTCAACTGAGAAATCTAAAATACTTTATGCACTGCCTAGTATGGACCCTGTTATAGTTGCTAGTGGAATGTGTTCTGGAATCTTTGAATCTTGTTGAATCCTTCAGTGAAGTAAATAATTACCTTAAAGCTATATGTTCATTTCTCATCATTTATTCTAATAGTGTATTTTATTTGCCATCTTCTACTCTTTGTCTGTCTGAGCAGTGAAATTAATAGTTAAAGCACTTAAAGCTGAGATCACCTTTCTTCCTGTCTTTCTCCTGTGATGTTCTCCTGGAATAGGCTCTTGCCAAAAACACAATTCAAGTTAGGTTTAATATGACAAGTCAAAAATATTATCCTGGTTATCTCTGTCTTTTTCATCTCTTCTTCTATCTCTGTCTTCTTCATCCTTTTTTTTTTTTTTTGGGGGGGGGTCTTTTTTGGAAACAGAGTCTCATTCTATCCCCCAAGCTGGAGTGCAGTGGCATGATCTCGGCTCACTGCAACCTCTGCCTACCAGGTTGAAGCAATTCTCATGTCTCGGCCTCCTGAGTAGCTGAGATCACAGGCGCCCACCACCACACCTGGCTAATTTTTTGTATTTTTAGTAGAGACGGGATTTTGCCATGTTGGCCAGGCTGATCTTGAACTCCTGACATAGGTGATCCGCCCGCCTCCGCCTCCCAAAGTGCCGGGATTATAAGTGTGAGCCACTGTGCCCAGCTTCTCTAGCATTCTTAAATAGACTAAGGAAAAATGTCATTTGTCACCACTGTCTGTACTGTTATGCCCCGACAATAATGTACATGTGTACCCACTTTGCATTAACTAATTGGGATATATCTGTGTTCGATAGAATCAACAAAGTTAAAGACTTACTTCGTAGAATGGAGGAATGGCAAATGGATGTTAATCCCACTAGCTGTCTCTTAACCTCTTCATATCTTTCTAATTCCATACTCCAGACAAATGTTGCATCCTACAGTGTTCCTTTTACCTTAAGTGACAATAGATACAGTCAATAGCACCACCTAGCACTTTTAAGAAAGATCATCCTAAGTATCCTGTTTTATGACTTGCAAATCTTCTATCAGTCTAACGGAGGCATTTCAGTAGAGAAGCTTTTAGAGCTTGTGATAGATTAACTTTTCACTGTTATTTCAGTGAATGAGAGTAAAAATCGGACTTTCACAGTTGTCCAGGGTGCAATAACTAAATCAAATTTACATACATATATATATCTTTATATATAAACTTCCCAGTTTTAGAGGGGGGAAATATCCTAAAGTCAGGGAAATGTTTGAAAACCATCAAACTGTCATAACAGTTGGATTGCTAACATTTACAAGATGGTATAAGATAATACAATCAGAAATAAGCATTTTCTGGCTGGGCATGGTGGCTCATGCCTGTAATCCCAGCACTTTGGGGGGCTGAGGCAGCTGGATCACCTGAAGTCGGGAGTGCGAGACCAGCCTGGTGAAATCCTGTCTCTACTAAAAATACAAAAATTAGCTGGACATGATGGCATGCACCTCTAGTCCTAGCTACTCAAGAAGCTGAGGTATGAGAATGGCTTGAACCTGGGAGGTAGAGGTTGCTGTAAGCTGAGATTGCACCACTGCACACCAGCCTGGGTGACAGAGCAAGACTCTGTTTCAAAAAAACACAAACAAAATAAAAAACAAAAATAAGCAGTTGGGGGAGTGAAAATTCCTAATCTAGTCCTGACTTATGTTCTTAAAGCGTTCTTTTCAAGACCTACACGTGTTTGTCAGTGCTTCAAATTCTGTGCACTTAAAGCATGAGAATAAACATTTTGGTAGGGTCTTAGGAATTACAATCTAGAGTGATGAGTTAGGGTGTTTTGGATAAAAATAGATACTTTAATTTGTAAGAAGTAAAACTTCACTGAAATGTGTTTCTTTTTATTAGGTTTAAGTGGAAACCCTGCAGATTTAGAAAGAAGAGAAGCAGTGTTTGGAAAGAATTTTATACCTCCTAAAAAGCCAAAAACCTTTCTTCAATTAGTATGGGAAGCATTACAAGATGTCACTTTAATTATATTAGAAATTGCAGCCATAGTATCATTGGGCCTTTCTTTTTATCAGCCGCCAGAAGGGGATAATGCACGTAAGTAAATGGGGGTGGGGCAGGGTGGGGAAGACATGTCTGATGCTAGTTCAGCTAATTCATTTAGTTAATGCATAATAATAATAGCTGGCTAGCATTTATTGATGTTTGCTATGTTCTAGGCACTGTTCTAAGTATTTTAAGTACATTATCTCAGATAATTTTCACAGTAACCCTATGAATTAGATTGTGTCACCTCCCTTTTACAGTGAGACACAGAGGTTAAATAACCTATCCAGTATATGCTGACTATGTGTCTGATGCAGACCTATGCCATGTATATGACATGGTCTTTGCTATCACAGTTTTTCAGTTTTTTAGAACACTGTACTATGAAACAATTTCAGTTTTTAAGTTTTGGTTTATTCAGAAAATGTCATTATGAAAATGAAATTCTGTTCTCTTCCCAAATTCATTATTTTTCAAGATCTTAAAATGTTTTGCGATATATACCATTTGGGTAATTTCCTTGTCATTATAGAAAATTTCCTGCCATTATACTATGGGTTGAACATCCCTAATATGAAAATCCAAAATGCTTTGAAATTCAAAATTTTTGAGTGCCTGCATGATGCTACAAGTGGAAAAATTCCACATATAAGTAGTTACCACAAATTTTGTCTCATATACAAGATTATTTTTTAAATATTGTATGAAATTACCTTCAGGCTATGTGTATATGGTATATATGAAACATAAATTCATATTTAGACTTGGGTTTCATCCCCAAGATATTTCATTTTATATATATGCAGATATTCTCAAATCTGAAAAAAATTAAAACATTTTTGGTTCCAAGCATTTCAGATAAGGAATACTCAACCTATCCAGAGTTTCCTGACCAACAGAAATAGATTTATAGAGTGGTTGATTTGCTTTAACTTGTAGCTACAAATGTTTTTTTCTCCCATTTTCTCTTTTAAGTTTCTTCTTCTGCCTTTTAAAAAATTTATATAAATTAATAGTTCTGCTGGTAGATTATTTAACTGGTAGGAAATCTAGCATATGTTTTGGTTTCTATATATAAGTAGCTATAATACAAAATAAACCAATAGTATTTTACATGTCAAAAGGTTAATTCACCAAAATATTTTTGTTTGTGAAAGCTTCATTTCTGTAACTTTCGAGTTGTGAAGAGATATTTGCTAACTCTAAAAGTTGGGTAAGGTGATTATGTTAGTCCCTTTGCATTGCTGTGTAAGAATACAAGCTGGGCGCGACGGCTCCCACCTGTTATTACAGCACTTTGCGGGGCTGAGGTGGGTGGATCATGAGGTCAAGAGATCAAGATCACCCTGGCCAACATGGTGAAACCCTGTTTCTACTAAAAATACAAAAATTAGCTGGGCGTGGTGGCACGCACCTGTAGTCCTAGCTACTCAGGAGGCTGAGGCAGGAGAATCGCTTGAGCCTGGGAGGCAGAGGTTTCAGTGAGCTGAGATCACACCACTGCATTCCATCCTGGCGACAGAGCAAGATTCCATCTCAAAAAAAAAAAAAAAAAAAAAAAGATACCTGAGACTGGCTAACTTACAAGAAAAGGTTCTGCAGGCTGTACAGGGGCCAGACTTTTTAAAGAACCAGCTCTTATGTGAACTCCTCACCATGGGGAGGGCACCAAGCCATTCATGGGGGATCCACCCCCATGTTCCAAACACCTCCCACTAGGCCCTGCTTTCAACACTAGGGATCATATTTCAGCATGAGATGTGGAGGGGACAAACATCCAAACTCTATCAATAATCATGTAATTATTTAAAAGATGGACTTGGGCTCATGTAAAGACTGTATTCTTTTTCTTTAAAGAAATTTGGACACAGCATAAACCAGTTTATCCAAGACCAGTGTATATCATGGTTTCTCACCAGCAGCATGACTGCCATTTTGAGCAACAAAATTCTTTGTCATCATATTCATCGTCACCCCACCCCCCGTGAGGCAACCAAAAACATCTCCAGACTTTGTCGTGTGTCCCATAGTGGGCAAAGTTGCCTCTGGTTGAAAATCACTATAAAGGATTTAAACAATATTTTTTTCAGTGTTGAGATAAATTACTTTTGAAACATAATTTATTAAATAAGTAGTATCGATTTTACTGTTTAAAAAAATAAGGGGTGAGTGAAGACAGTCCAGAAGAAATAACATTCACTGGAAATCCCACTTCTTAGAGATTCCTGCTATACCCTTTTATCCTTTAAGATTTTTAAGTATGTGTCATGTGTCTATGAGCACTCATATGTAAATGTATGATGGTGTGTAGATGTATGTGATTATCTGAAAAGAGTGGTTCTATCATCTTAACATACAGCTGAATTTTTTCAGTTTTCCACCTACCTAGCTGTCACTATAGAATATTGGGAATTAGTTTTCTGGAATTGAGTTAGCAGATTATTAAAAGATTTTTACTTGGAACATTTTAATTTTCTTAGAAAACAAAAGAAAAATATTTTTAAGAAGTGGAGTTTATTACCAGCAAGTTCTGGGACAAATCTTTTTGGAATTCAAACTGCTTCCTTTGTGAAATGTAGTGACAGGTCCTTTGCTAAATTTGTTAAAGGAGATACAGGTATTAAAATCCAACTGAGAAGACAATCTAGAGCTGTCAGTGTTCTAAGGCCCTTTTAAGAGTCAGAGTTCACCAGAAGTTCTTAATGAAACATATAAAGATTTTTTTCTCCATAGTGAAAAGTTATTTAGTATTCACTTATATATGTACACAAACACACACACATACATACATACATACATAATACATACACACATATTTATATATATATATAGAGAGAGAGAGAGAGAGACAGAGTCTCACTCTGTCACCAAGGCTGAAGTGCAGTGGCACTATCTCGGCTCGTTGTAACCTCCATCTCCCAGGTTCAAGCAGTTTTGCTGCCTCAGCCTCCTTAGTAGCTGGGACTACAGGCATGCACCACCATGCCTGGCTAATTTTTGTATTTTTCATAGAGACAGGGTTTCACCGTGTTGGCCAGTCTGGTCTCAAATTCCTGATCTCAGGTGATCTGCCCACCTCAGCCTCCCAAAGTGCTCGGATTACAGGCGTGAGCCATCGTACCCAGGCTTGCATTTTAAAAAATCATTTGTTAATACACTACATGTATCTTTTTGTTATGTTCTGTCTCAACACTGAGGTATGGTAACTTGCTTAAAAGGAATCTGTAAATCTGCAGGCATAGAAATCTGATCAAAATTTCTTACTAATATTATTTGATGTGAACATATATGCTATAGCCCAAACCATAAATAAGTCTTTAGTTACTGATATCTGCATAACAGAGATTCTCAAACTTTCTGGTATCAAAACCTCTTTAAGCTCTTGGAGTAATGAGAGCTCCAAAGAGGTTTTGGTTATATGACTTTTTTCCCATAAATGTTTATTATATTTTAAATTAAAATGGAAAAATTTTTTAATATTTATCAATGTGTTCTCACCACAAAAGTAACTATATGAGATGATGGATATGTTAACTGATTGTGGTAATTATTTCACAGTGTATACCTATATCAAAATACTTTGTTGTATACCCTAAATGTATGCAGTTTCATCAGTCATACTGCAGTAAAGGTGGACAAAATATATATCAATGCATTTTAAGATAATAATCTATTCATATTCACATAGATAGCATTTTGATGAAAACTGTTCCCCCCAATAATGAAATTTTAAGTGAAATAATGTAGAGTGGTGTCATACCTCTTTAATGCCCAGCTTAATTGAAGGCAGCAGGGTTCTCATATCTGCTTGTGTATTTAATATGTCACATTATCACATGTGATGTAATATTTAGAAAATTCTGTTATTCATTAATGAAATATGAGGCCAATAATTATGTCTTCAAATTATGAAAATAGGAATCCCCTTCAGGTTTCACAATAGCACTTTGAAAACTACTTCTCTATACTATTAATGTACACACTTGATACATCACCCAAGAAATAGCTCAACTAGGAGGTTTTAAAATGGAATATTTGGCTTGCGGTAGAGTACTGACTGAATTTAGATTGTGTATGTCTCTCAGTTGAATATATTTACATCTTTGATAATACAGATTTTTATTATATTTTAGCTTGGACTTTACTGAAAATGTTTAAATCTTTATATATTTATACATATATAACTGTAAGCTATAGTCATTTTGTAACTTTGATCATTTTTCCCCTATAACTCCTCTAAAAATTTGTAATCATTGTCAATAGGAAAGGATTTATATTTTTTACTATTTCAAGACTATTTTGGGCTTGTCTGTATGATGTAGAGTAGAACTGTGTATGATATATGTCATTAATTTGTTTCAAGTTCTCTTTTGAAATATTCAGTAGTTTAGTGATGAATAAAAATGTCAGATTTAGAGCTGAAAATTGTGTAATTGTCTATAATTTTTTTCCCCTCCTTAACCTCTGTTGCATTGGTCTTTAAACTTTTTTGGTTATTTATGCTTTCAGGAAAAAAATGTGCATGTACTTCCAAATGATGCATTTATTAATTATATTTATAACTATATATAATTTGTATATTTTAAGCTTATATAAAAAATAGAAGTTGAAAGTAAAAGACAAAGCTGGACACAGTGGCCCACACCTATTATCCCAGTACTTTGAGAGGCTGAGGTGGGAGGATCACTTAAAGCCAGGAGTTTAAGGCCAGCCTGGGCAACATGGCAAGATGCCATCTCTATAAAAAAAATTTTAAACGAGCTGGCATGGTAACATTCACCTTATGGTCTAAGCTACTTGGGAAGCTGAGGTGGGAGGATTGCTTGAGGCTGGGCGTTGAGGGTTGAGGCTGCAGTGAGCCACATTGGCACCACAGCACTCCACCCTGAGCAACAGAGACTCTGTCTCAAAAAATAAATAAATAAATAAAATTTAACATTTGCTTTTTTCTTGTAGCCATAAAACATTATTGTTAACCTGATATAGGTCTAAGTTTGATTAATTTCAGAACTTGGTTTTAATGTCTCATAGCTGAAAAGAAACACACATTATATAAATCCAAGTGGGAAAAGTGTAGTTATTAAATCATACTCATTTTCATGATCTCTACCCATCAGTTATGCAAAGGAATTTGTTGAAATATGACTGGTTAATTTCATTGTCTGATGTCAATCTGTTGTTTTTGCAAGCTATTATAAAGTATTGCATTTTTTGTGTAATAAATGACATCAAAACCCAGTGAAATGCTTCACTTGGATAATATGTTAGCTGTGTTTCCAAGTTGGTGAAAGTGGTCAGCATGGTGTTTCAACTGTCATCTGATCCTGAGTCTAAACTTGCTCTCATTCAGCGTTAATCTCCTGTCTTCTGGCTAGTGAGGAGAGTCATTCTTACAGCTTTGACTGTTAAACAGCATGTAAATCATAAAATCACTTAACTGGCTGTTAAACACAGTGACACATGGTGATTTATTGAGCTTGAAAATAATTAAAATAGAAATTCTGGTATTTGGGTTGGAGTAGGTTCTGTTGGATTATCCTACTTCTTCCTCACATTGATGGTTGAATCCTGCTGGTGGTTCTCAGGATATTTTTTGTTAACTGTTTTTGTAACTGTTATATTTCATTCCCAATTGATCTTAATTCATTGCCTGTCTTCCCTCCCAGATTGCTTTTTAGTCAGCGCCCTCACACCTCAGATTTTTTTTCTTCAATCTGTGCTGACCATGCTTGAACACGCTTTAATCATTTCTGGTGTCATTTATTTACTCATTTTTTTCTAAATAATCCTCCTGTTTTGTCTGTTTTAAGAGAACCAGTGGCTTTCAGACATTTCACTTCAACTGAAAAAGAAATAACTTCACGTAGCAACCCAGAAGCCTATATTCCTTCCTGTGAATTTATAAGTAATCAACGTTTTAGGAAATAACACTTATCCTTACTATATATCTGTCCTTTCTATTTTGTTTTGTTTCGTTTTTCAGAATGCTGGTCATGAGCCACTGAATTGATTTTGGACTTACAACTAGATTACAGCCTGAAGTCAAAAACCACTGTTCTATTGTTCTTCACCATTATTGACTACACAGTTTTGGATCTGTTCTCCCCACCCCCATCCTTTTCTGATCTCTCTGCTGCCCTAGGGCATTTGTACTGACTTTACACTCTACCTGTATTTTTTTTTTTTTTCCTTAGATTTATATGGCTGGTTCTCTACCAACATTTGGTTTGTAGCTCAAATGTCATGGATACCTCAGAGGGGCCTTCTCTGCTCACTCAACCTCAATTATCCTTCTGTCTTCATTTAATAGCACTTCACTGTTTAATTTTCTCCATGGCACTTTTTGATAAGTGAAATTAATTATTTGTGTATCATTATCTGAATTCTTCATACACCATCCCCAGTATGAGTATGGATTCCATGAGGAGAGGGAGCTTGTGTGTCTTATTCACTACTGTATTTCTAACTCCTAAAATAGTATCTGTCAGCTAGCATGGGCTCAAATAGTTGGAATAACAAGTAGCACTTTGCTTAACTTTTCATGTTATAAAAGCCAAGCTTTGATCACAGTTCAGTAAAAAATGACATAGTAAATATTCATGTGTTTCACATAATACTAACTTTTCATGTATATCTTGTCTCATATGTAACAATATCGTTAACCCTTAGTTGAGTGTGAAGAAAGCCTTAGCCAGTTCTGCACCTACTTTACAGGTATCCTCACATTTAATCCTCACAATAACTCTGAAATAGGTAGTGGTATCATAATTTGACAGATGAAGAAACCAGGTATCAAAAATAATAACTTCCCTTAGGACTGATGTTTTATTTCCTTCAGTGTCCTTACTCTTAACTACCTAGACTTCCTCCATCTCCTGAGATTGAGAATCTCAGAGGCAGAGAACTTAAAAGTGACATAGTAAGAGTTCTTGTGGAATACTTTGAATTTAATAAAGTAGTTATTGCTGTATGTACAATTGATAAACATAATTAACACAAAAATATGATTTAGACTTATATGTATGTTGTCATCAATTCAGAATCTTGTTTTGATAAGTATTTTCTTTCTTTCCAAATAGTTTGTGGAGAAGTTTCTGTTGGGGAGGAAGAAGGTGAAGGTGAAACTGGTTGGATTGAAGGAGCTGCAATCCTCTTGTCTGTAGTGTGTGTGGTGTTAGTAACAGCTTTCAATGACTGGAGTAAGGAAAAACAGTTTAGAGGTTTGCAGAGCCGAATTGAACAAGAACAGAAGTTCACTGTCATCAGGGGTGGTCAGGTCATTCAGATACCTGTAGCTGACATTACTGTTGGAGATATTGCTCAAGTGAAATATGGTAAGTAAAAAGAGCAATACATCTGACACTAAACATAAAATTACTGTAATCCTGTTTATAGTTTAGTATATCATTGCTTTTTATTTTAGGTGATCTTCTTCCAGCTGACGGAATACTTATTCAAGGCAACGATCTTAAAATTGATGAAAGCTCTTTGACTGGTGAATCAGATCATGTTAAAAAGTCTTTAGATAAGGATCCCTTACTTCTATCAGGTACAAATTTCTTTTATATCTTTGAACACTTTCCTCTTCCACAACTGTGTACCATCGCCAGCAAGCACCATTTTCCTAAAAGTCAATAATATAAAGAGGAATCTGTATTTTATGTTACCTTCTACTGTTGTAATCATTGGTGACTTTTTTTTTTTTGTAAACTGACAAAAACATTAGAAATCTTTGAATGCAGAGCTGTATTTTACAAATGAGAGAGCGGAGTCCAACAAATCAAGAGATTTGAGATTCAGTGTTCGTGCTAATATAATGATAAAACCGAAATAGAGGCCTAATGATATCTATTGAGTTGGTCTGTTATTTTGTATCATGACTATTCTTAATGCCTACTGAAGTATAAAGGAATGATTTTATGTTTAAAGCAAATTAATGAATTCTCTGTGATCTACAAAGGACAGGTTATTTTTTCTTAAGAACTAGTAAAATCCTTAAAGTTTACCTAATCCAACTCCTTCATCTAACTGCTAAAGAATTAGTTTGAGACCTAAACTATCTAGTATTATATGACTAACCAACAATAGGTCTAACAGTCATACCTCCATCTAGTCAGAATTGAATTTGCACATGCTTAGAATATGTTCTGGGATCGAAGAAGGGAAGGATACGTGAGGATACTGTTTGAAATGGAGGATGACTACTTGGGAGGCTCTTGTAATAACCTGATTGTGATAGCCTGGAGTAAGCTGAAGTAAGTAGATATGAAATGGAAGGGATGGAGGGAAAAATTACAAGTTTTCTTCCAAAACTGCACAAGAGGAAACCACAGTATCACAAATTCCCCCAAAATCATGTTCTTTTAACTGTTAGGTTCTAAGGTTCCTATTCTTAATTTCCCAGTATTCTTTATGGAATTTATGAAATTGCCTATCAGAACTGTACTTGTTAGATTGAATTTATACTAGAGTTTTGGGAAAGTTAAATGTAGCCTGTCTTCTATCATTATCAGATGTTGATAGATTGCCAACATTTCATACATTGTCATACGATTGCTGCTGAAACCAGAGTCATACCTGTGATATTGCAAGGGTCAATTAAGCTAGAATCACAACTTTAGAGCAAAACTTGTTTAACCATAACTTTTTAAGATTTATATACGTGCGCCAAAAGAAGCTTATTGTAAAGAACCATACACATTTATACTGGCCAGAAAATCTTACTGCAAAAAATCAGAGTAATTACATTTATAAACACCATTAGAAATAGGATAAAAATTCCAATTCTAATATAGACTTAGGTTTCATCAAAAAAATTTTGAGATGCATATACCTTCAGTATCCTGTGCCACTTAGAACATTCACACTCTGTTTGGATTTTTCTTTGTATTGGTGTGCTTGTAATCCATACCAAATAGCCAGAAAGATCTTGGATTTATAAGTATAATGTATTTAAGTATAATGTGTTAACTCATTCTACTTCCCTTACCATGTTTCTAAGAAACTGTAGTTAATGTTAACCAAATAAAATCTATAATTTTTCCAAAAGAGAGGGAAGCTATCTAATCGTACTTACCATCACAGGTTAACGAGACCACAATGTATAACAAACTAAGATAGTCTCCTGTTTGCTATGTATACTGCATGGACTTTTATGTACATCTCACTTGTTTACATAGTGCTTAGCTCTTCAGGTTGATTTTCTTTAACTGGACTTTGGTCCTTTTCTGTTTTAACAGAGATGACTGGTAAGCTTTATGTAGACTCAGGTTCCTAACACACCAAGTATACGAGGAGAACTCTATATACATTTTCCACATTTAAGAAAAGGCTGAAATAACTTTGTAGAGTCCCTTATCGCAGTATGGGTGGGAAAGTTTTTCTGCATTTATTTCCCCATTCCAAAAATGTAGTAAAAAAATGACATGCATTTATTTTTAAATGTACTCTCATGATGCCATCTCTGACTGCTGTTCTTGGCTTCTTAAGTTGAGATTTTTAAAAGCAGTATTCTGGTGGGGATGTGACCAAGACTAAAAACTGTTTACTTTGCCTGAGCACATTCACTGCCGACATCTGATTACCTGTGGTAAGGCAAAATAGAACCTAAAAAATCAGAGTCTGGAGAAAACCAGAATTGTTAAAAGAAATAAATTGTCTGTTATACATAGTATAACAGTAAATACAGTACTCAGTAAATACTGTTTCACTATCTTGAATTATATTTCTTGTTTTCCCTGCACTTTAATGGCAAAGCTAATAACTAGTGTCCCTCATACTTTAGGTTACAATTAATAATAATGAGCATTCATTGAACCCCCACAAATTCCAGGCAGTGTGCTAAATTCTTTACATTTATAGGCTTATATGAGAAATGTAAATCTCATTATATTTCTATGAAGTGTACAGACAGGGAACTGAGTTGTTACAATTTACTCAATATTACATGGTAAGCAAGTAGTAGATTGAGCTTCGAACTTGGATATGATTGATTAGAGTTAAAACCTTAAGCAAAAGAATTTAAGTTTTATTTAATGTCTTACTAAATTTATCTTATTAGTCCAGACATGGTGGTTCATGTCTGTAATCCCAGCACTTTGGGTGGCCAAGACGGAGGATTGCTTGAGCCCAGGAGTTTGAGACCAGCCTGAGCAACATAGTGAGACCTTATCTCTACCAAAAAAAAATTTTTTTTAATTAGCAGAGTGGAACAGGCACGGTGGCTCACACCTGTAATCCCAGCATTTTGGGAGGCCAAGGTGCATGGATCACGAGGTCAAGAGATCTACACCGCCCTGGCCAACATGGTGAAACTCCTTCTTTACTAAAAATACAAAAACTAGCTGAACGTGTTGGTTCGCGCCTGTAGTTCCAGCTACTCGGGAGGCTGAGGCAGGAGAATCGCTTGAACCTGGGAGGCGGAGGTTGCATTGAGCTGAGATCGCACCACTGCATTCCAGCCTGGCAACAGAGCAAGAGTCCATCTCAAAAAATAAATAAATAATTAAAGGCAGAGTGTAGTGGTGTGTAGCTGTGGTCACAGCTACTCAGGAGGGTGACAAAGGAGATTACTTCAGCCCAGGAGATCCAGGCTATAGCAAGCCATATTCACACCATTGCACTCCAACCTGAGTGACAGACCAAAACCCTATCTTTAAAAAAAAAAATTATTGTCTTAAATGTTGAGGATGTTAAAAACAATAATTACTGAAGTTTGAAATTTGGTGGTAGCAGGGAAATCTATTAGAATTTTTAAAAACAAACTGTTTTTGGTTATAGGTACTCATGTAATGGAAGGCTCTGGAAGAATGGTAGTTACAGCTGTAGGTGTAAATTCTCAAACTGGAATTATCTTTACCTTACTTGGAGCTGGAGGTGAAGAGGAAGAGAAGAAAGATGAGAAGAAAAAGGAGAAGAAAAGTAAGAATAATAATTTTCTATAATTGGTGTTTGGAAATATGGCAAATAATTTATAAGAATTAGTACCTTCTTTTTCAAGAGATTCTGATATGAAAAATTCTATAAAAAGTTAAAAGATTTTTGTTTTAGATTTAATAGCCCATTAAGGGCCTTTAGAAAATGCATCAGTCCCCTTTACCATGGCCAGAGAAGTGCAGCATCTACTTGAATCCTTCCACTGGCATTTGTCCATTTATTCTCTAGGTGTAGAATCTCCCGTCATCTGATCAGCAAAGTGAATTGAACTCTCACTTCCTATTTGCTAATTTTTTCTGTTCCTTCAGCAGTAGCTTTATCAGCCACATTATATCTTAGTTTCAATGAGCTTTTAATCTTTATTCACGTTTTCAATCTATACTTAATGTGCTTGGTTTTTGAACACAAGACTAGGACTTTGTTTTGACACCTTACATTTCTCTTTTTATATTCAGCCCATCATTAGATATCAAAATATTTTTAAAATTTTGCTGTTATATCTACTGTCTCTCCAAATGTTCTGTTAACAGCAAACATGATAATCATACCATTTATCCACAAGGATCTTACAAGAAACTGTTATATGCAAGAGACATCTCAGAATCTCCTAGTTAGGGGCACACCTACTTTTAAAAAGCCTTCTCCACCCTGCTTCTGAGTATCTGCTGTACCATCCTTTCCTCCCACTCAGGATCACCCCTCTTTACCCTTTAGGCTGACAACATTTTACTGTGGTTTAGCCACTTAGATTTATTTAATGTTATTTAGGATAGTAAAACCATATTGTTTCTTACATGAATATTTTGAAACTTTCTAAAATAACTGCCTTGCTAAAATCTTAGATTGCTGTAACTACAGCAGTGTTTTTAATATTTGAGTGGTTTGTATTGTTTTTTGAGTTTTACCGTTAGCAATAAGGTCTCTATTTGAAACAAAAATGTATGTGAAAAGTTCTGCAGGCAGATGCAGGTGGCAAGCTCCACATTCTAGGTTTTTTTCTGTGCCCTCCTTGAAGTTCTCAGTGTGCTTCCGTGTTGTTTTTTAAGGCTGAATAGAATGCAGTTTTAAGACCAGCACAGTAATGAGTCCATTTATTGAGTGTTTTGCGTGTGCTACCTCACTAATCCTCATAACTGTACAAAGTAAAGACTATTATTATTTTTTATTCATGAGTAAACTGAGGCTTATGAAGATTATGTAATTTGCTCCAGATCAGAGTACTAGTAAGTGGCAGGTCACACCATCTGGATCAAGAGTCTACCTTTCTATACTCTGCTGCATCCCAATACACAGGAGATGAAAGTCATTGGACACTGAAGGGCAGTTTGCATTGTCACTTTATTCCACAGTATCTTTTCTAGTAAGCACCTTTTCTCCCTGAGTCTTATACACTGCTTTTATTAATCCAGTCCAGAATATTCCCCAGAAATTAACCACTAATTTATTGACTCCCTTTTTTTTTTTTTTTTTTTTTTTTTTTAGAACAGGTCAACATTTTTCCATCTGGAGAAGGACCTCCAGCCCTTCTCCCATTCCCTTGACTGCCTTGGCAGTTACTCAAAAGCGGTCAAGTGTAATCTGTCTCAGTCCTTTGTTGGCTTGGACTGTGGCCGCCTGGTCTCTCCAAACTTGAGCTCATTAAAAGTAGCTAGGTATTCTCTTACTATCTCCTCATCAATCTTGAGCTTCTGTTCCTTCTTGACCACATTCGTTCCATGTTTTCCATTTGAAGATAGTTCTCCTCGATAAAGAAGCTAGAAGAATACAGGCTGAATGGTTCTGTTGTCTCTTTGTCATTTTTAATATTATAGTGCCTACTCTAGACAATAGTTCCGTCCCCTCCTTCATTACTTTATTGCTTCAGATATGTTCATCTTTGTGTATTTTCTAAATATAAGCTGATTTGGAGAGCTACCTTACCTGGTAGTCTTACTGGTTTATGCTATACATTCATATTCTGATTTTACTAACTTGCCTCTCATATCTTTTGTACATACAATTTTTGTTCTCACTCCCACCAACACTCTTCTGTGTGCCTCTTACCTTTTTATAACATCCCTTCCTCCTCCCTCTCCACCCCTTTTCTGCTTTCTTAGGGTTATATTTGTGTTTACTTTGAAAACCTTTTGTACCATATTTAGGTTTATTACAGCTTATAAAATAGTGAAGTCTTATGGAAAAATAAAACAAGAGCACCCTAAATTATTTTTGCAGTATTCTCCCATAGGTAAGGTTTAGGGAATCATTGACCCAGCAGGTCATCACAAGTCAAATGTTTTCTAATCTGTAGACACACACACCATTGTGTAACAACTGTTATAGAAATGTGAACTACCTCTGCATAATTTAGCATGGCTGTATTCATTTCTTTTGGAAAGCTTTAATTCCCATTTTGTTCCTACAGATAAGAAACAAGATGGAGCTATTGAGAATCGCAACAAAGGTAAATTTAGGAGGACAAAAGTACAGTCAGCTGGTTTTTATTATATCCAGAAATCTACTGTGTACCATATCTGTTCAAAATTTAGATACATGTGGCAGGAAAAATCAACAATATATGTTAACTTGGGTTAACCTCTCTTCCTCCCAGCATCTTAGTCACATTGTCACCACAATGAGATTTTAAGTATGATTTGTGGTACAGGTTGAGCATCCTTTATCCGAAATGCTTGGGACCAGAAGTGTTTCAGATTTCAGATTTTTTTTTTTTTTTTTTTTTTTTTTGGAATATTTTCATATACATAATGCGGTATCTTGGGGATGAGACCCAACTCCAAACATGAAATGTATTTATACGTATTGCCATATACACATTATACACATTGCCTGATGGTAATTTTGAAGCAGAGTTTTGACTATGACCCATCACATGAGGTCATGTCAGGAATTTTCCACTTGTGTCATGTCAGTGCTCAAAAAGTTTCAGATTTTTGAATATTTCAGATTTTCAGATTGGGGCAAGTTTATGTAGATTAACTTTCAACTTAAGCATTTCAAGCATTTGAACACTGGTTATTACATAGTAGCAAAAATGCATAAGAAACGAAATATATAACAAATTTATTTGCATTTACTTAAGAGTCTATAAATACATGCATATTTCTATATATGTATGGTCATATATATCTCTACATTATGGTTATAGAGGGAAGGGATATATGTTGTTTAGTATTACCTAACATAACACACAGGAAAAGCAATTTAGTATTCTTTAGTTCTTAGTTTAAGGACCCTATATGTCTCATCCTCATTACCTAGCACAATATTTTCAAATCTGATACAAAGTTTCACAACCTAATGTCACTATTGTCTTATTTTCTCTGTGTAGATACACGCACACACACAGAGCTGAATGCTTTTATACCTTTACTGGTTTGTGTAAGAAACTGATTTTTAAAATTTCTTTAAAATGTTAATAGTGATATCTGCTTTTAAAGTATAGTGAAATTCTATTTGCTCTTAAATGTAGCAAAAGCCCAGGATGGTGCAGCCATGGAAATGCAGCCATTGAAGAGTGAAGAAGGAGGAGATGGTGATGAAAAGGATAAAAAGAAAGCAAATTTGCCAAAAAAGGAAAAATCTGTTTTACAAGGGAAACTTACAAAACTGGCTGTTCAGATTGGCAAAGCAGGTATGATATAGAGAAGAAAATAAAGTGTTTTATTTTTAAACATGCTAACTTTCTGCTTAAAAATTATCTTTTGACACACTTAAGACTGGAAATTGTTGCTTTGTGAATAGGAGAGTCTGAAATATTTTCAGTTTTATCTATAATGCACCAAGCCCTTTGAGTTACTTTATAATTTGCTAATAAGTAGTCAGGTTAGGATTTGTGCCTAAGTCTGCCCAATTTATAAGCCTATGTACTCATCTCCGAATTTATGCATTAAGTGGAGAAAAGGCAACCTGTGAGGTTATTCAGTAAAGATGAACCGATTTTATTTTAGTAAAATTTCATCACACATTTTGCTTATCTTTTTACTGGTTATTTTGAAAATTTTTAGTTATGTCTCTCTCTAATGTTACAGTTCCGCACTGAATGGAATCATTGTAGTGAGACTAAAGTTACTATATTACTGCCATCACTAGAGAACACCTGTTAATAGAGCCATTCTTTGAGGGAAAAGGCAGAGCTCTGAGGTTAAAAACAGCATGACCTTTAGCAGTAACATCTTTTTGGAAGAACAGTGTGTGGATAAACAACCATATATTATTACAGTTGCTTATTAGCCAGGCGTGGTGGTGGGTGCCTATAATCCCAGCTGAGGCAGCAAATTGCTTGAACCCAGGAGATGGAAGTTGCATTAAGCCAAGATTGCACCATTGCACTCCAGCTTGGACAGCAGAGCGAGGCTCTGTCTCAAAAATTTTTTTTTAAATTGCTTAAATTGCATCGTTTTACTACTCTCTAGGAGTATGATAGAAAAAGTGAAGTTTTTGTTTCTATCCTCAGTAAACTTATTATCTAATAGCAAATATTTGCTTTTTGTAGTATGTAGTCAGTTGGTAATACTAACTGATGTAGTGTTGGGGGAAAGGAGTGGATTTGAGGTGGCAATGGCACTTAGTAGACATTAGATTGGGATGTTAGAACTTGCCTCTTTTTTTCTTTTCTTTTTCTTTTTCTTTTTTTTTTTTTTTTTTTGAGATGGAGTTTCACTCTGTCACCTAGGCTGGAGTGCAATGGCATAATCATAGCTTGTTGGAGCCTCGACATCCCAAGGCTCAGGTTATCCTCCTACCTACACCCCGAGTAGCTGGGACTACAGATGCCACCACACCTGGCTAATTTTTATAATTTTAGTAGAGTCAGGGTTTCACCATGTTGGCCAGACTGGTCTCCAACTCCTGGGGTCAAGTGATCCTCCTGCATCAGCTTCCCAAAGTGCTGGGATTACAGGCATGAGCCACCGTGCCTAGCTGCCTTATCTATTTATTTTATACAGGCATGAGCCACCGTGCCTAGCTGCCTTACCTATTTATTTTATTTTATTTTATTTTATTTTATTTTATTTTATTTTATTCTATTCTATTCTATTCTATTTCTGGTGGAGGAGGGGGTGGAGTCTCACTCTGTCATCCAGGCTAATGTGTGGTGGCACAATCTCGGCTCACTGCAACCTCTGCCTCTTGGGTCCAAGTGATTCTCCTGCCTCAGCCTCCTGATAGCTGGGATTACAGTCACCCACCACCACACTCAGCTAATTTTTGTATTTTTAGGAGAGACGGGTTTCACCATGTTTGCCCAGCTGATCTCGAACGCCTGACCCTAGGTGATCCACCTGCCTTGGCCTCCCAAAGTGCTGGGATTACAGGCATGAACCGCTGCATCCAGCTAGCTGCCTTATTTTTTAATACACATGTCAAAGACCAGAGTATCCCACAGAATACATGGTTAACTCTTGGTTTTCTACGTTAATGAAGCACTAAGGATAAAGCAAAAAAATTGAAATAATTCATACTATATAATTTTATTATTTATTATAATGTTATTTTTTAAAACATGGGTTGAATTTTAATTCCAGGTCTCCCCATTGATCATATTTTTACCAGTTTCTCTTTAAGCATTAGGCAGCTTGCCTCCTGAACATGTAAAGCACCAGTTTATTCTAAGCTTTGGGTACTTCCTTGTCATTGCTTATTATTTGCCTCAGTTTCAGTACAAGGCCAAAGATACAATTAAGTCGAAGAAAGAATCCTAAGTGTTTTTCTTCCAGTTCTCCTGGGGACAAAACCGTACTTGGAAGCAAAAATTAAATCTGACAATGTCAAGTTATAAGTTAGGTGCAAAAAAGAAGTAACAATTTCTCAGAGAAATTCAATACTATCAAGCCAGTTGCAACTCTTTACAGTGGTTAATATATATCTGGCAATGGTCAGTGTCTGGAAATTTATATAATCACATTTTTCTTCTATTTCTATTCTGAAAGGTCTGTTGATGTCTGCCATCACAGTTATCATTCTAGTATTATATTTTGTCATTGACACCTTCTGGGTTCAGAAAAGACCATGGCTTGCTGAGTGTACACCAATTTATATACAGTACTTTGTGAAGTTCTTCATTATTGGAGTTACGGTTTTAGTGGTCGCGGTGCCAGAAGGTCTTCCACTTGCAGTTACTATCTCACTGGCTTATTCAGTCAAAGTAAGTAGAAAATAGTTAAGTAGATGTATTATGTTTAAAGCGTTAGCTGGTATAGAAAATGCCCATCTAGTTACTCCTTTTTTGCTTTTGAAAGTGAGGACGTTCATAAATGTACACTATTTTCTTTAGAAATACTATCATTGATGCCCTGTACCTCCCACAAGTTGAATATCTCTGTAAGAGACCTGTGCATTCCACGTAGGGCAATCTTGACACAATCTAAGCACAACTCTGCTGAGCAAAGTTCTAGCCTGATTTTCGCTATGTGGTAGTTAAGTTGTCAAGTCACATCACCTCCTCTTTCCCATCTGTAAAATTAAGGTGAGCATGTTAGGCTCGTGTTTCTAAAAATAAAAAAAAAATTAAATTATGATTTCCATGTGTAAAAACTTGCAGTTATTTCTCATGACAAAGTAAAATCCAAACTCTTTACCATGGCCTGCAGGGCCCTGCCAGTCTGGCCTTTACTTATGTCTAAGTGCTCATTCCCTGCTCCTCTGGCCCAACCTCACCAGCCTGCCTGATGATTTTCAGGCATCCCAACTGTGTTCTTACTTCGGAAGGAACTGCTTGTTCCTTCCTTTGAGTAACCTCTCTTTCTTTATTCAAGTCTCTTCAAGTGTCACCTTCCTCTGACCACTTGATTTACAGTAGCTCAGTCCTTCTTGTTTTCCAAGTAGAATGCTAAAAAATGAGCTTTAATGGCTTTGCTTACTGCTGTTTACCTTAAAGTAGTAATCCTTTTGAAGATTATTAATTTATTTTTATCAATTTTCTATCTTATGGAAAAGGTGGATTGGATTTTTTTTAAAAAAAGATGTAGCTTGGACAATTTTGGACTTTTTTTTCAAAATGATCTTGCAGGTAAAAAATTATAACCAAATGAAGAATGCTGCTTTTGTAAATTTTCAAATGTTAATTACTAGTTCTCCTTAAGTAACACTGCTGACAGTGAGCAATATAAATCAACTAGTTATAGTTTCAATCTTTGCACTCTTTATTATTAGACCTGTCTTGATAAGAATATTTTTTGCTTACTGTTTATTTTCTTTTCAGGCATTTAACAAGTTGGGTTTCAAAAATAAATTGGTAAATGTGATAAGATATAGTCATCTATTTGTCTTTTTTGATATTTTAAAGTAATTTGAAATATTTGTGGTAAAAATATTTTAGAGACATTGAACAGTCATTTTATCAAACTCTGCTTCATTTTGAGTAGTCATTAATGATACTGATATTTCAATTGATTAGAAAGATACTGGCAAGATTGATTTGTATTTCTCGAACAGAAAATAAGAACAAGTTAACTACTGTTTTTTAAGCCTAATTTACTAGATGTTTATCTGGCTCTAACGTTATGAATTACTGTTCTTTTCACGGAGGTATATAGTCTATGGATTCTTTGTTAGTGTTTCACAAAACCGAACATGGTTTCTTTACTGCAGAACTTCATTCTTCTAATCTTTAATAAGTAAATCACAAGTAATTTAGGAAGAAACAACCATTTTTCATGTATTTATTTTTTCAAGGAGCCAGGTTTTTTTTGCAGCATCTTGCATATTAGTCATCACAGAAAACACTTTGTAAAATAACTCTATATAGGCCTGGCACGGTGGCTCATGCCTATAATTCTGGCACTTTGAGAGGCCTAGGCGGTCAGATCATGAGGTCAGGAGTTGGAGACCAGCCTGGCCAATATGGTGAAACCCTGTCTCTACTAAAAAGGCAAAAATCAACCAGGCATGGTGGCGCGTACCTGTATTTCCAGCTACTTGGGAGGCTGAGGCAGAACCTGGGAGGTCCAGGTTGCAGTGAGCCAAGATTGTGCCACTGCACTCCACCCTGGGTGACAGAGCAAGACTCCATCTCAAAAAATAACTCCATATAGTTTTTAGCACATTTCACGTATATACTGAGAATTAATCATAAAGTGTTTTAACTTAAATGCCCTATGGGACTACTGTGAAAACTCCTGGTGTTTTAGAAATGATCTTTTCTAGTGTAGATGAGAGAAAGAAGTGAGACACAGTTTGATCCTAAGGATGAAAATACCAAGTCTGTCAACATATAGAATAGATAAAAAATGACTCGTTTTAGTTTTGATATGTTGACTTTATCAGTTAATAATTGAAAAAATCAAGCAACTACATACTCATGAGCTCTTTATTTTATCTGATAAAAGCTATTTTTTCCTTGGCACTGATGTAAGAATCTTTTGTTTTCTACTTCATAAGGAGACTTAATCCTTTAATATACTCTTATACTACTATAAGTACTGCTGTACTTAACAGTACAGATTGTCATTGCTCTTGTAATGTGAGGCCATTTTGCAAAAATCGTTGGAGACATATATTCAGTGTTGTTTGTGTATGGATGCAGGTACCGGAATTGATTTACTAGGTTATGTTATGCAGCAATAAAATGATTAAAACCCCAGAAAGCTTTGATACTGTGTTTAACTTATTTTAATAGGTCAAATATGCTAAAAAAAAATTTTTTAGTATTACGTCAGTACTCTACACATTGTATTTATATAAAGCTGGGAGTTTCAGTTCTAATTTTAAAACAATTTATAATCATGTTAATGTAATGAGGTGATTGGTTTTATATGGAGCTTAACTAGTTTTTTTTTTTCATTTTGTTTTTGTCACTGTAGAAAATGATGAAAGATAATAACTTAGTAAGGCATCTGGATGCTTGTGAAACTATGGGAAATGCTACAGCCATTTGTTCAGATAAAACAGGAACTTTGACAATGAACAGAATGACAGTTGTTCAAGCTTACATAAATGAAAAACATTATAAGAAGGTTCCTGAACCAGAAGCTATTCCACCAAATATTTTGTCCTATCTTGTAACAGGAATTTCTGTGAATTGTGCTTATACATCAAAAATATTGGTAAGGTTTTTTAAATAATTTATATATGTGAAAATTAATTTTTAAATCTGTAATGATTAGACTGTAAGTCTTCAGAACCACTGTTACTGTATATAAAGTAAACTGAATTGTGTTGTGTTTAAAAGGTATATATTTATGTAACAGTTTTTAAATTTGTTATGAGTAATGTCTGCTGATCAACATAAACATTGTTTACTTAGTTTTTCTCCTATATTTTGAATTCCTGTGTTCAGAAACTCTCTACTCTTATAACTAGAGCATGTATTTAATTTTAAATTCTTGTTAAGTTCATTTTTGAGAAAGATCAAGCTGTTTTACTGTAGGAGGTCAGCTCTCAACTTGAGAGAATATTTTGAAGCCAGAGTTCAACTTAAAATAACATGTTTTATATATGCTTGCTATGTGCTCTGGTTTCTCAGTAGTTCCTACCTATATGGTGGTCCTTAGGCTTTTTTAGAATTAATGCAGTAAAGTAATTCTAGAATTGTGCCACCATATAATAGAATATTTTCAACTTCACAAGCTTTTTAAAAATCTTATTTATAACAGAAAGTGTTATGTTTGACTTAATATTTTCTAGTGGTTTATGGATGAAAATCATTAACAAAAATCATATTGCAAGCTGTTCATTAGTGAAAACATACATGAATTGGATGATTGCATTGGAAAGTTATGGGATACTGGTTCTAGATATACCTTTGTCTTTTAGTAGCTGAAAATCTGAGCTCCCTTCTTTTAATTAGTGAGTAAAGATGATCACATCTGTCCTTGATACCATTGTGATGATTATATAAGGTGGTGTTTCTGAAGGCACTGTGAAGGAAATATAGCTTTCCACTACATTTAAGAGAACAGTATTTTAATGCATATACTTTTAAGCCATAAAAATTGGTAAAGTAGATTTAATTTTGAATGATTTAGTATAAAAGTTCAGTGAAAACAGGAAAAGGGAATTAAAATTAAGTTCCACTCTGTCTCAGGAACCAACTACAAACTTTATACATCTCATACATCATTTAATTTTGGGGTCATAAGTGCTTCTGTTTTACAGATGCTGAAGCCAAGGACCACAGCAGTTGGGTAATTGTCAACTTTCACGTAGCTAGTAACTAGCAGGACTGAGATGAGAATCCATGTCATTCTCACCCCAGGCTCCTTTCTACCTTACTTTTCTATGTCGTTCTTTAAAATGCTGATATTAGACAATTGCTTGTAATTTTATTTTAGAATGTTGCATTCTGTTTTACATTATAAATTTTAAATGTTCATAGAGAAACGTGATGATACTAGCTACTAAACCTTTTTCTCTTGTAGCCACCAGAGAAAGAGGGTGGATTACCTCGTCATGTTGGTAATAAAACTGAATGTGCCTTGTTGGGACTTCTTTTGGATTTAAAACGGGATTATCAGGATGTTAGAAATGAAATACCAGAAGAAGCACTGTACAAAGTCTACACGTTCAATTCTGTTAGGAAGTCCATGAGTACTGTCCTGAAAAATTCAGATGGAAGTTACCGAATATTCAGCAAGGGTGCATCTGAGATAATTCTGAAAAAGTAAGAGTAAAATGCTTAGATGAATAAATTGCTAACTGTAGTTGCTTTATGGAATACCTCCTGTGTTGTTGTTGTTGTTGTCTTCTTTTTGTGAACATCAGGCATTTGATAGGACCTCAGAGCTTGTTAGCATATTTTATGGTATCCAGATTATTTGCCACTGATATTCTGCCATTTTCACACTCTAGCTTCTCTTATTTCTTAGTATTTTGCTATAGGGTAAATAAGCCCATTGCATTCAATCTGGTATGTTTAATGAAGTATACTTTAATATTTATTTTTAGAAATTGATTTCCTTGTTATTTAATACATAGAATCTTGAAAACCCTCCTGGGAAGAAACTCAAGTTTGTATCTTTCTTTCTTGTTTTTTCTTTTTTTTAAGATGGAGTTTTACTGTGTCGCCCAGGCCAGAGTGCAGTGGTGCGATCTCAGCTGACTGCAACCTACACCCCCAGGTTCAAGGGATTCTCCTGCCTCAGCCTCCCAGGTAGCTGGGATTACAGGCACCTGCCACCACACCTGGCTAATTTTTGTATTTTTAGTAGAGTCAGGGTTTCACCATGTTGGCCAGGCTGATCTTGAACTCCTGACCTCAACTAATCTACCCATGTTGGCCTCCCAGATTGCTGGGATTACAAGTGTGAGTCACCACACCTGGCCTCAAGTTTAGATCTTCAGTGCTGCATTGTGATTACTAGACTCTAAATGTGATAAGAGAAGTATGGAGTAATTTTTAGACTAGCAAGGAACAAAAGCTAGATCTTTATAACAAAGTGAGATTTATCATATTTATGCTACTGCAGTGTCATATTTAAATATCTCCTGTCATTTTGAATGCTAATTTTTCTTACTGTCCTTTTACAGACCATTAGCTTTAATTTTGCTGTTACATGTTCACATATAGTTCCCCTGATGTTTATTTGTTATTAAAGGTGGTGAAATTATTTTGGTTTCTTTAATTCCAGTAAAGAAGTAGAGAACTGGTTTTAAAAAAAAAAAATATATATATATATATATATACACACACACACACACACACACACACGCACACACACACAGGCTAAGTACAATTTGAAAAAATTGGAACTCATTTGAATAATATTTAACATATTGAAGTAAATATTTAAAATATTTATACTTTTAATTTGCTTACATGTGGATTAGTAGCTGCTATTATCTTAACACTTTAAAATTAGTTTAAGAGATAAATATATAAACAAATAACTGTGAAAGCAGCATATAGTAAATCAGTACAAAGTTTTTGGATGAGAGAGCACACCATAGGGATGTGGCATTTAAGATAGGTTTTGGTATGAAATGAGAACTTTGAGGTGAGGGAAGCCACAGCAAAGGAAAGGAGATGGGGATGTGCAGGTTGTATTGGGGAGGGGAATATCTGGTTGTATAGTTTAGTTGAGTAGTGGTGGGCTTTTGTGGCACACAGGCCATATAGTGCTTTCTTCTTGCCACAATACACTCAGTTATCTGATTTCATTGTAAAAGGTTAGAAATCTGTTTCATCCCTGGCTTGATGCTTGGTAGATAAATGGGATAGGAGAGATTTTTTAATCAAAACTGATCAAGCATTGACTCTTCCTTTGCAGCTAACTAGCTTTGGGTTATGGGGCAGATTCTTCCCTCACTTCCATTGTCCTCCACTGAAAAAAGGGTGCTAACCACCAACTCTGTGGCACTTAAATGAAATAATGCATACCACATGTCTAGCATGAAGCCTAATAGATAGTAAACATACAGCAAGTGTTCCCACAGTAACATTTGCATTTTGTTATAAATGTTGGGCTGAGCAGTTAAAATTCAAGTAAGCCAGATAACACAAATGAAGTATTTTTTTCTTCAGGTGATAGAATCATCAAAGCTGTGATTAAAGATAATTCTTGCATCAGGGAACAAGGTGGGGGGAAAAAACAAAAAATCAACTAGAGACAGATACCAGTTTAAAGGCTATTACTATTACAGAAGCTGTAGCTTTGTAGCTTGAAGTAAGAACCAAAAGAAAATAGTAGCAGGAGGAATAAAAAGGAGTGAACACATTGAGGAGGCTGCTTAGAGGAGAAATGTGTAGGACTTAGGAGCTAATAGTAGTAAGATGATCAGGAAAAATAAGTATTAAGGTGAAATTTTAGACTTATATCAAAACGATTAGGGTAGTGTTGATGCCCATTACATGGGTAGTAAAGAGGCATCTTCCAGTCTTTCATCCATTAAGGTTTAGGTACTGATAAAGTGTCTGGGTGGAATTTGTCAGCAATGATAGGAAGCTTCAAAAAACAAAACAGCAGATGTAGATATTGGAATTATCTCCCTAGAAGCAGGAAGAGATGGCATCATCAAGGGAGAGGAGTATAGAGAGTCATTAGTATGATTTTTATTCATTACATAATGAAAAAGGTAATGTCACTGAAAATAAGAACTATTTTGGCATTAACTCTCATTCTGATAGAATGCTTATTTTAACAATAAGGTTTTTTTCTTCCATGATAATGAAACAACATCTCAGGTAAGGGGTTGACTACACTTGGCTTTCTACTTAAAAAAAAAAAAAAAAAAAAGTTTGTGATTTTCATGTTATTTAAAACTAATGTCTGATTCTGTACCAAAATGGTGAGGTATATAGTTTATTCTCCTTTGCCACCCGGGGATTCTTTGTGAAAATTTGAAAGCACTGCATTTCCAAAAGGGAAGGTTTAGAGAAGTTCTAGAGTAACTGATAAATGGAGAACTATCAAATGAAAACCATACATATTGGAACTGTTTTGTAAAGGGGAGGGTGAAACATGCATTTAAGTCTGTAGAAGTGCATTACGTGTAATTCTCTGAATTCCAGATATCAGATCCCATGATTTCTAGGCCTGCCAGTTCACTTAAATGGCATTAACCATTATTTTTGTTAATTATTGATGTTTGGATTCAACATTTCCTTTTAGGTGTTTCAAAATCTTGAGTGCTAATGGTGAGGCAAAAGTGTTCAGACCAAGGGACCGTGATGATATTGTAAAAACTGTGATTGAACCGATGGCATCAGAAGGCTTGAGAACCATATGTCTTGCATTCAGAGATTTTCCAGCAGGAGAACCAGAACCAGAGTGGGATAATGAAAATGATATTGTCACCGGCCTTACATGCATTGCTGTTGTGGGGATTGAAGATCCTGTGAGACCTGAGGTGGTGAAACATTCTGTGTTCTGCATGTGCAGAATCTCATAACTATAGAGGACCTAGGCCTTAACTGTAACCAGTTTTCTAGTACAATTATTGGTGTTTGTAATTTTTTTTTTTTCTGTGTGAACCCAGGATAAGTGAAATAGTAGTACCTACAGTGCATATACTACTGTATACCTTTTATGGTTTTTAAAGACAGCCTCTCTTTGGGATCCTATGTGTTTATAGCACTATAACCTAGCATAGTGCCTTGAACTGGGTAGATTTTTCAATTGTTATATATCTTAATAGGTGCCATTAAGTTACTTGTTTTCACAGTCTCTAGACTACCATTATCTAGTAGAGTTTTCTGTGGTGATAGAAATGTTCTGTATATTGTTCAGTACAGTAGCCACTAGTCATGTGTGACTACTGACTTCTAGTTTTCAGTGGCTAGTGCAACTAAAAGACAGAATTTTGTTTATTTAATTTAATTCAAATTAAAATGTCTTGCTAGTAGTTGTCATATTGGATGGCGTGCAGCTTTAGACTGATTTCCTTCTTTAAATTATTTTTTTGCTATTTGGTTTTGCACTTTTTTTAAGTTTGTTGAACAACTGCGTGCCAGGCACTATCCTAAGGTACTAGAAACATAAAGAGTTTTGAGATCTGGTCCCTGGCCTCAAAGAAGTTACTATCTTATGTGGGATGAACCAAACACATGCTAATTGCAACCCAGAATATTAGTACCTTGCTGGGTATAGACAGAGGATGTTATATGAGCAGAGAGCTTGAGTTCCCAACCTAGTCTAATGTAATAGCATTTTTTTAAACTGAGTTCTCACTGTGTGCCATATACTTAAGCCATGTGCTTTACCTGTAATTTTTTAATGTCTGCCTTTATGAGGTATTCATACTGTTATTCTTAATTGGCAGATTTTTAAAAATTGAGAATGTATAGTGCTTTATACAATAGACCTAGTATGTTAAAATACCAGCTTTGTCTAAAACACGTGCTTAAAAGACTATATGCTGTATTAACCACCAGAGGGGTCATGTAAGACTTCCAAGAGGTTAATTACCTTATCTCATTTTAAAGAAGGAAGTATTAGCTAGACCAAGAAAGAGAGTGAGCAGGTAAGTTTATTCTGAGCAAAGAAGCAACATAAACTAAAGCACTAACAGAAAACCACTTTTGTACAGTGACTTTATCAGCTAATGGATTCAAAACCTAATGTGTAGCACTCTTCTAGGAATTGGAAATACTATAGTGACCAGAACAGGCTTGAGATTTATATTCTAAAGGAAGAAGTCAGCTAAGTAGGTAGAATGATAAGATACATGGACACTGTGTCAAGTGAAAATGAATTCTGGGAGGAATAAGATTTGGGCCCTGTTCTCATAGGCCTTATATTCTGCGTGGTGTATTGGGGGGATGATATTCAATAAGACAGTTACAAGTGCAAAAGGTTACATAAGATATGCATAGTATGATGAAATAAAGTAATGGAGGGAGACTGCATTAAGAATTCCTGAGGTTGTGGCATTTGAAATGCAAACTGATGGTTCACAGTGGGCCTGCCATGTAAATAGCTGCAAGCACAGCATTTCAAGCAAAACGAGAAATGCAGAGTGATAGTGAGAAAAGTATTTACCTATTTCTTTTTTTTTTTTTTTTTTTTTTTTTTTTTTTTTTTTTTT